GTGTGTGTGTGGGGGGGGGGGGGTGTATTACTGTCTATATTTAGTATTTTTAGTATCAAACTAACGGATTTCTTATTCTTTGCGCATTATCAGCATTGAAAATATGTATCTTCTGTTACTAGATTAAACAAATCTCGGTATACGATTAACAAAGAAATTATGTTAATGATCTTATTAATTTGTGCATTAATTGATTAATCATTTTATTTAATACCATAAAACCCTTAGCCTACCGCCCAGGGTATCTAGACCCATATGTAGGCAATACCCAACAAGTCACTGTAATGAGCGTTTAGACCTACCTGTTAGAATTATTCCTCAATGCGCTTAACGTACTGAACATCTAGACCTACCTGTAGGTAATATACATAACGTGCTGAACAACTAGTACGTAGCATCGATGGGTATTTTCAAAATGAAATTGTAATTAATATTTTAATGGTATATATGTTCCCATGGGCGTCACACATGGGGGTCAGGGGGGTCCGACCCCCCTCCCCCATTGTTTTTCGGGGGGGGGGGGGGTCTGAATAAACTTGGACCCCCCCCCCAAAAAAAAAAAAAATTTACATAGTAGGCCCAAACTCCTATTTATTTACAACAATTATTAGGATTAGTTAAGATTCCATCTGTATAAAACCTGTACATATCCCAATATGGTTTATACTGCTAAAATAAAACACAGAGATAATCATCCAGGAAACATGTGTGAAGTGAAAAGTACCTGTGTGCCATAAAATATTGTCTAGTTAGCCTGTCAGTAATATTTTGTTAATTTTTTCTGCCACTTATCAGAGTGAATCGCATGTAGGTACCCAAAAACATAACCGCCTAAACCAAATATTTATCGCCCGCTCAGCCAGCAACGTAACCATAATGCTTTTGCACGCGGTGTCTTGGTAGACAGCATGGCCACATGGTGTTTGTTTATATTTTTTAGGGGTTTTAAAAAATGGGTTAGGGTTAGGGTTGCGGACCCCCCCCCCAATATATATTTCACGGCTACGCCTCTGTATGTTCCTAGCCACAATTACACGGTATGTCTGACAAATTCATGTCTCCGTTGACATTCAACCCGTATGCCCATTTGCTCGACCCTTGCACTGATTTTTAGTATAATTCTACTGACAATGACATTCTTAGTAAGTTGCCTATAATATCGCAATAATTCAAATATCGGGTATTCAGAATTCTTGAAGGATGACTACCCCATGTTGTAGCATGGATCGTGAAGATAGGACATTGGAGGAATGACAAGTTTTGGAGGATTCGGTACAAGAACAAAATACTTCTACTGATTGTTTAAATCAAGTGATTGTAAGTTCGTTTACATTCTGTTACTTCACCCCGTACTTTGGTAAGTCAACTGAGCACGTATGCGTGGATCACGTCTATGGGTTTTCGACTTCATGCACACTGGAAGAAAATGTTCGTGCTGAAACATAGTCAAGGTTTTGATGTAGTTATGTTCACCGCTGCTCTGTCATGCCTTTTTTTTAAAAAAAAAAAAATTATTGTCGGTTATGACAAGCAGTTTTGTGAACCAAGGAGTGTGTCGTCATGGCGAACACCAATGCTTAAAAAGCACCAATGCCTTCACGATAGACATTTAAAAGTATAATGATGCAATTTGTAAGAAAAAATCTGTCTAATTTTAAATACACCATTAACAGTCCACTGTAATGGGCCTTGGTATATAATTCCAGGGTCAGGATGTCGAACCTAACATCTGCTACAACTGTCAGAAGTCTACTGAAGAGGACATGGCAAGAGACTCAAGAAATTTGTCGAAAACACATGGTCAACAACAAAGAATGCTGCTGCCTCACGTACAGACCTTAAGTCCGACATATACTCAGATACTACACGTAGGATTTTAAGTTGTAATGATGAATCTGCTTGACAAAAGAGATATACAGCGATGAAGCGTAAACATCCAGACCCATCATTCAATGATGTGCTTTCCAAAAGGGTCCGGATTGAGACAAGGCAGTGTAGTTCTCTACCGAAGTCAAACCAACAAGGATTGCTCAAAGGTGAATGCATATTCTGTTGAAAAACACGCAAGAAAAATCGTGGAAAAGAAAAAAAGTTTAGTCAAGATTGCTACGTTAGCAGGTTGTAAGTCCCTGCTTGAACGGGCCAATGAATCAACCAATGATGGCATAAAAAGTCTTATTAGGGGTGGCGTCAATCTAATAGCAAAGGAAGCAGAATATCATAAATCCTGTCGCGCCCAGTTTCTTGTTATAACATCTGATCAAGTACCATCAACTTCTACCCAAGCACAAGAGGGCTTGAAACAGCACCAGTACCACAAAATTGCATTCACATCGCTATGTACCTATATCGAAACGGAGGTCATATAAAACCAGCGATCAGTGTCAGTCCCTGCGTTACTTAAAATGTATAAAGCTGAGTATGCAAGCAATGACGGGGATGAGGTTGATATCATCTCCTACCAGACTCAAAATCTAAACCGAAAGATCAGAGATCAATTCATGCAAAGAGTCAATGTAATGTTAGTTGACCAGCGTACTGTTAACCATTTATAGTTCCAGCTTGACGGAAGAAGATGCTGTGGCACGTCTCCACAATGATGCAGAGCAATACAAACAGGACGACGAGTTACGGTGGGTAGCTCTACATCTTCGATTCCTAATAATGCAGTTACCAAAGACCCAAGACTCCTGATCCAGCAACAGTCCAGAATCTAAAAGAATGCGCCCCAGGCATTCCCAAACAGTTGGACCTGTTTTTCAGGAACCTTTTATGTGGCTCAGCACGAAGGGGATGCGATGCGTACCAGGAAACCATTGACCGAAAGGTGACTGCAATGGCATCCGATGCCATTTACAATGCTACTCGTGGTATTGTCAAACCATGGAAGCACATTGTTGTAGGTTTCGGATTAGGTTCACTAACTGGCTCACTGAAAATGTCTGTCATCGGTGATTCTTGATACATGTGGATATGCTGAACATTTTGCAACAAGTTTTATGCGGTTAGTAAATGAGCTAGTCTAGCTTAGCTTTAGGGTTGGGTCAATTGAGGCCGTCTGGCGGGGGTACCCCACCACTGAAAATGTCTGGTATCGGTGATTCTTGATACATGTGGATATGCTGAACAATTTGCAACAAGTTTTATGCGGTTAGTAAATGAGCTAGTCCAGCTTAGCTTTAGGGGTGGGTCAATTGGGGACATCTGGCGGGGGTACCCCACCACTGAAAATGTCTGGCATCGGTGATTCTCGATACATGTGGGCTGAACATTTTGTAACAAGTTTCATGCGGTTAGTAAATGAGCTAGTCTAGCTTAGTTTTAGGGTTACTGTTTTTTTAGTCTGGCGGACACGTCCCACCGCCTAAAATGTCTGGCGGTGGTCATTCCCAATACATTTTGATATGCTTAACATTTTACGTGGTTAAAAAATGAGCTAGTCTAGCTTAGTTTTTGGATCCTTTTGTCCCTCCTGACTACACCCACCACAACGGGCACGGCAGACCTTCATAATCATGTGATAGTGACCCATAGGCAACCTAGCGACACATATAGAAATTGGTTAGCTTTTCAGCTAGGTTGAACCCCCTGGGCTCCTGGTCTGTGTCTGTAACCGCGATTGGGCAAGAAGGATAAAACTGAAATTTTCGTTTACATTATAACACGCGGGTGTAGGATTTAAAGGGGTATTGACAGTGAAATAGTGTATTGTGACTGAGTAATATAGTTTATTTTGGTCTTTTGTATCCAAGGGCCACTATTCTGTGCTGGAAAATAATACGTTCGGCCTTGTTGGTGTCAAGACTAGTTTGCAACAAGATGGTGTCACTTTATCTTGCCCTTAAATCGAGAACTGTCAGCTCTGTATCTAAATCTTACATAATGCATCTTTAACATAATAACTACAATATGATAACCTACGATGGAGAGGTAGTTACAAAGCAAACACGGTTGTTGTTTTTTTGGACCAAAAACAGTTCTTGTTGGTGACACTCTTCGAAAATAGACCAAGGCTCCACCAATGCAATTATGTTTTACATGAAACTGGGCATGCTTGTTACTTTTACAAGTGTGCATCGATTGACAGACTGACTTTTGATATGACGTGACAATTTACAGGATGGCTGTGATGACGTCATGCTCGGTTCCTGCCTGGTACATAGAGTACTATAAAACTGTTTTTTTTTTTTTTTTAAAGTGTTTGTTTCCACCAACTCCCGGATTCACTTCACTAGGGGGAGAGCAGGGATGGTTCGGACACTTTTGGGTTTTTTCACATTTGTGCAACTACACTAATGCACTTGTCTTTGAACTTAAGAATGGGAAATAAATTACAACTTATTAGTTATATTGTCAGTGATATAGCTGTGTAGTTACAAAAGTCTTTGTGTTGGACCCAATTTTTTTTTTTTTTGGGGGGGGGGGGGGATTCAGTAAAATGTTCGGATTTACCCTGTTTATTCCAGCAAATGACAGTCCAAGTTTGTAGTAATTACTCATCCCCTTGTTGCTACTGGACATATGTTTCGGAAGAATTGACCGAAATTGATTTAATGGAAGTAAAGCTGATCTGGAATTTCAGGAAACCTAAAGAACCCCTAACTGCCAGTCCTCATTTTATTTTTATCAAATCTGACTCTTGGAAAAACATAATGGTTTGATTTTGATCCGGTACAGGACCCTTGCGGGTTAATTGCAGGCAATTAGTGAATGAAGAAAGACGTGACAGAATAACCCGAAAAGGAACTCTATAAACATCGAATTAACTTAACCATACAAAAGTATACAAAAAGTTTATCTGCAACATGAATGTTTATCTATGCCATGTGTTTTGAATTTTATCACATGTGATCATAAGTATTTAATTAACCAATCAGAAAACAGTTAGCATTGTAAAGAATAAAGGTATGGGGGGTGTCAGGACCTTCCAACTGTCCGAACCATCCAATAGTACAGTTGATCGTTTCAGACACCAATACAGTTAAAAACAGAATACTATATTTAGGTTTTGCTATATAATTTATTGTAATAACAGTAGTATCACTAACAAAAACCTTAAATATGCAATGCTTAACATTAACAGTGACAAAAATTTCTCTTTATGAAAGGAGCACTCATTAAAACGGGGGTCTTATCTTAATTTATAGTTAACTCGGAGATGTTCATAACAATTACAATTTTTCAAGATAGTACCACACAGGTACATCAATATAATATATTAATGCTTTTCTTTACATAACTGGCTTTGTTTTGATCAAACAGCAACAAAGTTAAAAAATAACTGTATACGTATATTTACATCTAATCTCTTTAAGATTCTATTAAAGAAGCATCATACATTATTCCTCCAACTGCTTAAATAAAATGTTCAAACAAAATGGCACTAAAAATATAATAACCAAACTAAATACAATGCTAAAACAATGTAAAAGATGTTATTAAAACAAACACAAAGTATTAGTAGGTTGTTCAACCCATCTTTTGTCCATTAAGCTGTTTACACGTCTATATATTCCTCTTCATACAATCAAGTGAGGTACAATAATGCTGATATTGAAACCCTTTCTTGACAATTTGAAGATGACTTAAGATCTGAATAGTGTAGAACAATATTAGTTCAACAATTAATAAACAGTTTTAAAAAAATCTCATAATATCTGGCACCAACAGAAAGCAAAGGAATCTGTTACTCATGGCTTAAAACAATACAATAACATAAAGGTTAGAACACCACAAGTTCCAACTTCCAAGTTTGGTGTAACATACAGGAAAATAACAATTACTTTTATATATAATGCTACACATGTGAAATGTAAGTTTATCTAAAAGAATCGGACATTTTGATCATCTGGAACAGATGCTGACGAATCGCTTGGCTCGATACCGGACTCAATGCTAGTAAATGATGGGATACTAGAGATTCCAACAATAGGTGGCAGTACGTCTTTGTCTTTTACATCTGCAGCTGTGACAATTCTCATGGTATTAGTTGAACCAGATCCAGGCTTCCATCCAGTCAGAATTACAACCGGATCTCCGGCCCGTAAAAAGTTTCGGTTCATTGCAATGTCAATGGCTCTCCATATTCTACGATCTACATCGGCAGTCCATTCATTCATTTTATCATCTACAATAGAATAAGACGAAATATTTAAAAATACACAAGAATGAAACACAGTAGACAGGAATGACCAAAAAAATATGTTATTACTGTAAACATTTAGTTAGAAGCATAGTGTACAAAACGTGATTGATGGATTTATAAATAAATACTTTCAAAATATTATCATATACAGTGGAGAGATTGAACTGAAATTATGAAACAATAAACAGGGTTAATCAAATCTGAACTAATTGAAGTAAAGATAAACAGAACAGAAAGAAAGAAAATTAAACTAAAGCACATGCTAAAAACTGAAATGAAAAGTAACTAGTTATGTTTTAAAGGAACAGTCAACAAAACAATGAAATGAGAGTTATGACTTACGTTTTTGTTATTGTTTTATCTATTCTTAATTTTTATGTATATCAGGTATTAGATTAAATAATTGAACACAGAACATATATAATAAAACAAATTGATTGCACTTCTATCCCCAGTCAATATCTTGTCATTAATTAGGCTTGATCTTTGTTTAATGTATTCTTAATTTTCATGTACATCAGGCAAATGTTTGATTGTAAATTGGGAATTGAATATTGAAGTATATAAAACAAATCCAAATAAGGTGATGGTAGTTATGTCCCCTGCCAATATCTTGTCTTGAATTAGAATTTCACTTTGTTTATCCACCAGTATTCTTGATTTTCATGTATATCAATCAGACAAATACTTGATTGTAAATTGAGAATTGAATATTTTAAAAACATATAAAAAAAATCAAACAAAGTGATGGTAGTTATGTCCCCAGCCAATATCTTCTAATGAATTAGGTTTTTACTTTTGTTTCATTGGATGGAAAGATGACAGTAAATGACAAATGGAATGGGGTTTAGCATTGTACCATTAAGCACTGAGTAAATGGAATAATTACCTACATTTACGAACATTTTTAAAATACAAAACTCCATTCAAGTAAATTACCAATCAATTTCAGACAAGTTTTTAATACTAAATACAATAACATTAGTAGCAATAGCACCCTTTTAAGTTTTAATGTGTAATCAAAGAAATAACCACGATAAATTAATGTTTCACAATAATGAATAATGATATTATGGTGGATGCGGTCTATTAGAAATAACCTGTAAACAATGATATCAACATTAACTGATGTTTGAAAGGTGGCGACTACTTAGATTATGACAATTATTATGGATAACCTATCTTTCTTAGTCACCTCCTGCCCTGCAGACAATTGCCAAGAGGACAATAATTTCAGTTAAAGACAACTATAAGATTTTTATTTTTTGGTTCTGGAAATTCGTGCTCAGTTGAACTGGAGACAACAGTTTTCATCAATTGTTGAAAGTTGTAACATATTTCTGACAAATATTTAAGGATTGCTTTCTTATTCTATTTATGGTGAGCATGATAATCAGCCAAAATTTTAAGTTTCCTAGGTAGGTATATATATATGAGAAAGATCATATTTGTAGTTAAAAAAAAAAAGTTTTCAAGTATGGTAACACTAGATGACCTAATTAATGTTGAGGGAACATATTTTATTCTAATTTCTATTGATCATTATATAGATATATAATTTGCATTTCAATATTAAAAAAACAAAATATCATTAGAAATCGGAGCTTGGATAAAAATTGATAACCATAAGAGTTGTCTTAATCAATGATTCTGCAATATGTAACATAAAAACAGGTACACATGCTGATATGATATGGTACAAAAAATTTTCACACTACATATACTATTTCACGACTCCCACTAACCAGTAGGTTGTATATCACCGTCATCCAATCTACTACATTGACTACCTTTAAACAAAATAATTAAATATAAGCAGATCTCTAAATAACAAATTAAAACATAATAACAATATAAACTCCCAGGAAAATTTTATGGAGTGCAGAAGGCATACCAAAAAGTGAAAAGAACAAAAATAATGCGTTGGACGGCCATCAATATATGCCCATCAGCAGCATATTTACGTAAAGTCTGAATTTCAATAGTCAAACAATACCAGCAAAGTTGACATAGTAACCCTGCAAAACTTGATGTGTGCTTCAGTTCCTCCTTTGGCCTCGCTGAACAATCCTAGTAGGTAGATCTGTATACTTTTATTACATATTGTTAATGGGACAGACAGACGAATGGACAGGGGCGACATCAATATACTCGCACATAAAATGTGGACATGTAAAAACCATTATGTACATATTCAATGACATCAATCTAACAAATAACAAAAAATATTAACATATCGCACCTTACAACACATTAACTAGCAATACATCGAAGAGAAAAGGTTGAACACTAAAGTACTTAATGTCTCTAAAATGCCAAGACATTTAATCCATAAAATGGACTGGACCACCCATGGACCACCCAATCATTATTTCTAGCTGCAATAATTGAAATAACTAAAATTCTTATATTAATGATGCATCATAGGCTTGTCATGGTAATAAATGTCCAAATAATATTATAATTTATATAACATTTGAAGCCAAAATAAAGACCTGCAGGCAGCTTTAGCTCTTACATAATGCATCTTTAACTGATATTGGTGTAAAAGTTTGTTACCACGCTCTATGAACTAAAATCACAATGCAGTTTGCACAAAATTCATCCTAGCTAATTATTATTTCAGTGGTAATAAGGTGGTCCAGAGAAAAGAAAAACAGACCTATTGTGAACAATTTTTGACATGAGAGAACAGGTCTATTCTTAGATAACATAACAAACGAATTTATTAAGCGTAGTGAATATTGCAATAAATTTTCCATGAATGGATGATCTAGTTATTGTGCACCAAAAACATTTCGTCATTCTTATGCTGCAAAAATATCAAAGTGCTACGATCGAAAAATGAACAAAAACATGTTCAACTATTTTAACTGTTTACATTAATGAGATATATGATACGATTTTATTTTCATTATTACGTTTAAAACAATATACAAATTTAGAACCTAAAAAATTTAACATCAAAATTTTAATGACTAGATTAGAAGTAAAGAGACACCTGTAAACAGATTCTAATTGATTTTACTTTCTATTACTTATAAATAATAATTGTAGACTTTTTAAAGTCCTGTTCAAATCTATTACAGTATTATTAAATGCCATGCTATGGGTATCTTTTCATTAAACCATTTACTCGAGACAGTACTGAGTGTCATAGACTTTTTGAGAAATATTCAATATTTCAATCAGTAAAGTTTTTAATAACAGGTCCTCCTAGAATGGGTTCTTCGTCTGCATCAGGAGCAGTAATAATGCGAAGTGTGTTCGTATATCCTGATCCAGCTTTCCATCCGGTTACTATGACAATGTTACTTCCTTGATCTATAAATCCTCTGTCTTTTCCTAACGTAACTCCAAAGTATATCCGTTTATCCATATCATCTGTCCACGAATTGAGACGGGAGGCTAAGAGTAAGGTAAGGATGGAAATGAAATGAAAAGCTATATACAGAATGCTACATAGAACACATGTACCATAACCAAAACAACTACTCTGCACGACATATAAATAATAATGCTGAATATGCATAAAAGCTTATATAGTAAGAGAAAAAGTTCAAACTTGCCTTCCTCTAATTTATTTGAACTATTAGGGCCTGTAATATTTAGAAATAGCAGGAATATATTGTAAAAAATTTAATATATTATATCATGTCAAATACTATATCTATTTCCATTTTCACATTTAAAATTGGAAATGATAAAATTGGATCTTTATCAAATAGTTTGGGCTTACTGTTGCTGGAACAATTAATAAAACACATATATCAATTCCATAACAATAGCACTTTCTACAGATGTCGCATATTTTGACGCAATGTCTGATGGGATTTAAGTTGGACAAACAAAGATGCACGGAGTTAATTTAATGTTGAAAGTGTTTACAAAAGACAGCGCTTAATTTTCAAAAGATCGTGAAGAAATTAAGAGATATGATGGCTTGAATATGTCAAATGGTAAAATAGAAAAAAAAAACAAGCCAACAGTGAGGCTGAAGTTCGCCGCCGAAATCCGAAAATATCGAAAGTATCGAGCAATCAAACTATACACTAAGTTTCATCACTCTCTATCAGATGGAATCAAGATTATCTTGTCCCAAAGCATCGACCGATGAAATTGATTTGCTCTACTTAGCTTCAGCTCGAAATGTTAATCATTGAACTCAGTCAAGACATTCACCTAATGAACATCTACATCAAGTTTAAACATTCTACCTTGAATTAAAAGCAGAGATGTTACATGTATGTTCCAAATTCTTGACCAATCAAATTTATTATCGCTCCTTAGCCTAAGCAGAAAATTCTCACCATCAACCTAGTCAAGGTAATGAACGCCTACATCAAGTTTGAACATTGTACCTCAATTAGAAGGAGAGTTATTGTGTTCCAAAGTCTCGACCAATCAAATTGCTTATTGCTCTGCTTACCCTCAGCAGAAAATGTTCATTATCGAACTTAGTCAAGGTATTGATGTAATGAAACTATACACCAAGTTTCATCACTCTCACTAAATTACCCTAAGCAGAAAATTCTTATCTTCGATCTTCATCAAGGCATTCACCTAATAGATACCTACACCAAGTGTGAACATTCTAACTCAATTAGAATGAGAGTTATCATGTCCCAAAGCATCAACCAATCAAATTGCTTATCTCTGCTTACCCTTAGCAGAAAATGCTCATCTTCGAACTCCATCAAGGCATTGACCTAATACACACCTACACCAAGTTTGAACATTTTAGCTCAATTAGGAGAGTTATTGTGTTCCACAGTCTCGACCAATCAAATTACTTATCGCTATACTTACCCTGAGCAGAAAATGCTCATTATCGAACTTAGTCAAGGTATTGATGTAATGAAACTATACAAAGTTTCATCACTCTCACTTAATTACCCTAAGCAGAAAATTGTCATCTTCGAACTTCATCAAGGCATTCACCTAATAGATACCTACACCAAGTGTGAATATTCTAACTCGATTAGAATGAGAGTTATTGTGTCCCAATGCATCAACCAATCCAATTTTTTTATCCCTGCTTACCCTAAGCAGAAAATGCTCATCTTCGAAGTTCGAACTCCTTCAAGGCATTGACCTAATAAACACCTACACCAAGTTTGAACATTCTAGCTCAATTAGAAAGAGAGTTATTGTGTCCCAAACAGACAGACGGACAAACCTATTTTAATAGTCCCCTGCTTTGGTCGCAAGGCGGGGTACAAAAATTAGGAAGTATGTTCTCCCACCCTATTTTCCAGGATACTTTGAGAAGTGAAAATGTCAAAATATGTTAAGCTTCAAAACAAAGCACTATTGTCATGCAATTTTATAACAAGCAAGAAGTATGATTTTTCAAGTTTCATACAATTATGACACTCACTTCAAAATATTATGTTTCTCACAGCCACAGCTTCCCAAAAACTGATGATGAATTGATTTGATTTATTTGAAAATTCCTTTAAATTAAAACCTCTGCTTTTTCTAGTATATGAGTAGACTTAAAATATTTTTAGAATGTAAAAAAATAAGTCCAGGTCTACTAAGACCTGTGTTTGAGTACAAGTTTCGAGGAAACATAACATTTTGTTTTTAAGGTGACATTACATATTATTTTATCTACCAATATCCATATTTTAATTCTTTTCTTAAAGAATTTTGTGGGTAAAAAAACCCTAAGTTTCTTTAAAATGTAGGTGGGAAAAAAAAAAGAAGATTTAACTACATTTATCTCATGATATAAAAATAATTTGAGTTTTTGTATATGTTCTATTATTTCAATCAATTAATGAAGAAATTAGACAGAATGAAGTTTGAAATATTTTCTCTATTTATAAAAGACTTCTATGGCACCAAAGATTTTTATATAGAAATGGCAAAGGAAAAAGCTGATGAGTTTTAACCCTTAACCAAGTTACTAATAATCTATGAGATACTATTCATGGTATAAATTTAGACAAGTTTCAGTAGAAGGAATTTAAATTCAACTTTAATGTTTAGTTGAATAAAGTCGGGGGCTGTTTTATGTTTTAAAATGTTATTGATAAGATACAATTATGGTACGGAAATATATATTACAAACATATGATGAATAAACAAACTATAATGTACTTCAATATTTGCATCAGATGAAGAAAAAGCATATCACAAAGCCCAATGCACATATAATCACACGGCACAGAGGTATCAAAGTCTATATGTATTATGAACCATGCCTATATGTACAAATCGTTCTTACCTGTATAATGAATAGGAAAGATACCACGATATAAATGACACTGACGAGCTGTTTGGGCATTTCTTGTAATGGCTAAAATAGGACATCTTGGTCGATAAGCCGACACTAAAAATGCAGATCTGAAGAATCAAAATGAAAACAGAATAATAATACAAATAATGGACATTTTTTGTAAAATCTTTGTACGACCATATATTCTTAAACAGGAGCAGTGGCTTATCGGCAATCCCAATTTGTTACTATATAAAACTTTCAACTGAGTAGAGAGTATTTTCAAACATTTTCCTAGGTTTATTTACAACTTTCACAGGTGCTTGTTTCAATGATATGGGGTTCAGTTCAGATTGTCCTACAGAACAAACACATCTACGCCACGTAAAATTACTTCTAAATGCTAAATTTGGTTTTATTTTAAAAAGTTTAGTTATATCTGTCTAAGTTTATGAAGCCTAGTCTAGTTCATCGTCTTATATTTCCAGTATTTTACCTTCCTGACGTTGTAATAACTATGATAGCAGATGCCATACAGGTAAACGAAGCTTCTACAGCAGCTATAGCTATAGTATGTGTAGCATCTGTATACGTTGGTGTTTCACGACGTAATTCTTCAAACGTCTGATTGTGGAAGACTGCAGATTCAGCCTCTCTACAAATCTGTGGATATACATCAAATGTTAATCATTTTAATACTATCTCATTTATATTACATCTGCCAGGTCTTTCTACCTATAGACACTGTATGGATACCATCACCCTACGATCCTGAGATTGACTGATTGTTCCCAGCAGACACAGTCCATTGGAAATCGACCAAGGCTTGGACGGCAACACATAAAAATGTCGATACAAGACCATGATATTAAAAAACATCTGCAAGATCGCAAACTGCCAGCTTCCCGTAGTGCTGCTACTGTGAGGGATCCACATGGGTTCATTAGTGCCGATTCTGTTTTTATCAATTCTGACTCAACAATAGTCAATTTTGATTTGTATCCAAAGACAATCATTTCAATCGTGGTTATACTATTGAACAATGGGCAAAATATGAGTACAATAAAATGGAATCAACTTACTTTGTGCATCATTTTAACAGATTCTAGAGGATATGACCCTTTAGCTGTTTCACCAGATAACATAACACAATCAGCTCCATCTAATACAGCATTAGCTACATCACTAGATTCAGCTCTTGTTGGTCGTGGTTTTTTAACCATACTTTCTAACATCTATATTAAAACAATATTATCATTTAACCATCCAAACAAAGGAACCAAATAGCAGGTTTCAGTATCATATTTTATAATTTAATTAAAATCATGTATGGTATTTAGGAAATAAATATTATTAATCCAACCATCCAAGCACAACAGATCACAAGATCACTAGTGGTAAGGCAACATGTTAATTAATCATCTTGAAAATTTAAAGGAAGTTTGCTTTCTGCTTAATTTCCAGTTTACACTCAGCATGTCATCCAGAAAATTCCTTTGGTTATATTTGATTTTAAGCATATATCATCTGGTGTAGTACTGTTTGATAATTTATGCGAAATTGTATTAGACAAATATAAGTGCATGGGAGGACATGAGTTATAATTTGATAAATACACATATGTTTTATTTCTATTCTCCATTGTCAGTATTAGTTATGGTAGAGTTTATTTAAAATGTAAATTAAATTGTTTATGAAATATTGTGAGAATAACAGGAAAGAGGGTATAAGTTCAAGGATAGATGTCTGGTCGAAAAACATGTGACTGGCTTTTTAACCAATCATTATAATCAATTACCTAATATTTGGCCAATTGAATAATTAGTAGCGGAATTCTAGGATATACAAGGAACTGGATTTGGGCGCTACGACAGCCATGTAGTTCTTGTAGGGAGAAGATGTAGGAATTTCCATCAGCGGACTCGCTCGTAACTATGCAACTTATTATGTAGCGGTGCTTAATATAAAAGGTAGAATCAAAATGTGGTATTTGTTGTTCCTGTTGATGATATCATTTAAGATGCAGTATATTCAATCACTAGGGAGGTGCTCGATTGTCAGTCCCGAATCACCACCATAAACAAGTTTTATATCAGTCTTGAACTATGGCTACTAACCTGTGTGGCACAAATAACAGGTTTACCAGCTCTGTTACATCGACCTATCATCATTTTCTGGGCTAAAAATACTTTCTCTGCTGGAATTTCAATACCTAAATCTCCCCTGGCAACCATGATACCATCGGATTCTGACAAAATCTCATCAAACCTACAAGAAAAATTTGTAAAAGGTAGGTCATACTTGATTAGTTACTTCCCCTTAGACCACAGATTTAATCCCTGCCAACAAGACAAATAGTAAGAATGAATGAATGAAATGGCAATTATCAATCAACTAATCATTAATCCAAGACAACTGATTAGTATTACTCATTGACACGGTCCGGATTGATTAATTTATAGTATCACGCCATGTGATTGACACTCAATAATGGTTAATCCAAGATAAATACGATTAGAATTTTACAATTTTTTTCTGCCAGTTCTCAAAAAGAATCGCCAGTATGGCAAAACATTATCGCCAAAATCAAATTTTAATCGCCACTTTCATATTTTTATCGCAAATTGCGACTTCAGTGACCAACAGTGTGAGTCCTGATGCCAATGTCTACATGGGACCTCAGTTGTTCGTTTCATCAAAATCTGTATACGCTGTCCTTTGCCAGGTCCTTTGTCTTGCACACAACTAGTACTAAGTACTGTAGGCAAATTAAGGACATTACAAAGGATTGCTTAAATTTTATTTCTCAATATTAGTCACATCAACTTGTGTATACTTCTTCACTCCATTATTAAATATTTTATCTTAAAATGTGCCAGTGAAATATTTACCTTTGAACACCTTCATGATTTTCTATTTTCGAAATTATTTTAATATTTTTTCCCTTATCTCCTAAAATTTTTCTAATCTCTTTCACACCTGCAGCACTTCGAATGAATGATGCAAACACCATATCTACCTAGAAATAAAAATTAACAAGTTTCATCTTATATTTAATCTCACAAAATGGAGCAAGATTCAGATTAATATGGCTCTGTTTTGTCCCTTTACAATCCTTCAAAGGTTTTAACAATAGTGATTACAAGTCATTGAAAATGGTAGAAAAATTCAGAAGCATTACAAAAGCTCATACACAGGTTATATTAACCATTCCAAAACGACTGGTGTTGAAAATTGAAATTGATGATCAACAATTACCTGATAGCTTGTCTCAGCTTTTGAATGAATATATCAGAACTACCTACCCCATTTTCTACACCAAACAATAGATCTTGTTTATCTTTCTCTGATACAGCTGGTAAATCTACAGCTACACGAGGAAGATTACATCCTTTTTTACTTCCTAAATCACCTCCATTCTCAATCTCACATAGTAGAAAATCAGCACCTATAAATCACACAAATTTTAAACTTTTTATATTTCTGGTTTATGTCTGTGGTGTGATTAACTAAACTAATTCCCAAGGTACTCCCCAAGAGCTCATTAATTTAATGATATATCATGGGTTGAGATGTTTTAAATAAATGAAATGAAATGGGGTTAAACGTCCTACTGTTCTGCTCCAAACTGGGCTAATGAAGACGGGTGTTTTAAATAAATTCAATTGATATCTAAGGGATCGCATCAGATTGAATGCAAGTTGCATACAAATAATGGAAAGTTAATTGAATTTTTTCTAATTTTGTACATCAACATAAAGCATTCTCTACTAAATTATACCGACGCATAATGTCAGCGCAATTATGATCAAATCATTTTGCTTGTGCATTTTAAAATGGAGTATATCCGTGATTCCTGTGTCGGAGACAAGATCATTTACAATACAAGAACTATGGGTATATACAAATGAGGAAATGTCTTCAAGGTTTGAAAAATCCAGTACTTTAATTATCTTGGATATTTTTATTAGATTAAATGTAAGGACGCACAAATAAAAAAAATGTTTTAAAATTAGAAGTTACCTATTTCTTTAACAACAACAGATATAAGACCATCATCAATATATACTCGACCACCAACTGCCATAACTTTAGTAATATTCTTATAATCAACATAGAGTATATCTGCACTACATTTTTCATAATATTGTTCATCAGTAGATAATTTGATCGTATTTCCAGTTTTTAATTCAATTTCAGCCGATGGTCCCTGGAAACATACATGTCAGAATAAAATAAATATCAAACAATTCTTACCACACTGGCGTAGAAAGCTTGAGCAAAATGATAAATCATATGCATGTCTAGCAAATATTTAAAGAACATATAAAATGATCATATAAAAGTGGTATATACTTGAAGACAGTCTTTATCGTTAACACTATGGTACAATTGTTTCACAACAATGTTGAATAATCTAATTAAAATTATTCATATGAACATTTATATGTCAAGACACTCTAAATAGAGCATTTCTAGTTTTCAATTTCACAGCCATAACCCAGTTTAAACTTTTGTGACGTCCCAGGATATATATTGCTGGCTGATGTTTATAGACATGCTGACTGAACTATTCAATGAAAACAATAATTACAGTGGAAGTTCCACAGAGTTTACAGATGGAAAATCTATATTTTTATGCCACAGAAATTACAAATATTCTGTACCCAGGTTTCTGAAGAGAGAATATACTGTGGTTTTCTTAACTCCTTTGAGCTGTCATATCTTCTTGGTAAGTCTTATCTATTTACTGACTTTTCATACTACCAGTACAGTACATGTACTGTGGTTTTCTTAACTCCTTTGAGCTGTCATATCTTCTTGGTAAGTCTTATCTATTTACTGACTTTTCATACTACCAGTACCAGTACATGTGTTGATACAAGAATAAAACATCTTATTCAAGGAATTGGGGTTCAACATACTACTTTTCTGCACAAACTGGGCATCTTATTAAAAGACACAGAGAATCAACAACCAGCCTTAATGAAGATAAAATGTGTTAAAGACAAAATTGTTGAGTATTAATACTGTCAGCAAACTTTCATTCTATATTTCTTTCTAAATTCATTCAAATTCAATTTGAAATATATTACATGTATGTAATGTTATTGAATATCTTACCCCTTCAAGAAGACCAGTTCTGATTTCTGGACCTTTGGTATCCAGGGCGATGGCAATAGGTCTGTTTTCAGTGAACTCGGTGGATGCTTTTCGTACATTATCGATAGTTCCTTTATGATAGTCATAAGTACCATGAGAAAAGTTCAGTCGTGCTATATTCATTCCTTCAATAATCATCTTTTGGAGAGTGTGGACATCTTTACAAACAGGTCCTGAAAACAAAACAAAATTATATAATAAGTTCAATTCTAAAATAAATATTAGCCTGTTCTGTATTTACAATGATATGATGAAATGAAATATGTCAGCATTCGTTTTGTTGAAATCAATTGAATCAGAACCGGGAGATTATATACCATTGATATTTTGCTACTGTTTTCTTAAAGGGGCATTATTAGATAAAGAGCTGGCAGTTCTCACTATAATAGTTAACCAGCAGCTGCCAGGCAGGATACGCCCACATTTTGCAAGACATATAGAGAACAAGCTAAAAACAAGCGCGATTTTTTGTACAATCAGGGGCAATAATCCAGAAAGTTATGGCCAGAAATGTGCAAATATCAAAAGGGACTGAGATCTTTATCCCGGGATATAAAGATATGTTTTAAGTTTCATCAAATTCGGATAAAAATTGTGACCTCTAGAGGGTCCACAACCTTAGTATTACAGGGTTCCCGAGCTTCGTCAAACATTTTTTCAAGGATATTCAAGGATAAATATACGTCAAATTCAAGGATTTTCAAGGACATTTTTTAGCCCAAAGTTACAATTTTTCATCTTAAAAATAACCAAAACATTACCAACTATCGTTACAAAACTTCTAATCTAAACGGGATTTTCATATCAACTTACTATTATTACCAATTTGAAACAAAATTAAGGATCTCAACTGAAATTCAAGGATATTTTCCTATTTCCGCGAAATTCAAGGATATTCAAGACCTTGAAAATGAAATTTTAAATTTAAGGATATTCAAGGATTTTCAAGGACCGCGGGAACCTTGTATTACACACTTCTACACAATTTGCGTACAAAGAGCGGCCATTTTGTCGGGCAGTTTTATTTCGATTTTCCCGAAATACGAATTCAACCTTCATTATAATGGAATGGTGATGTATTTTTTAAAATCGTAAAAATATTGTGACCTCTAGAGAATCCGCAAGCTAAAAATGCAATTTTTCGAACAATCAGGGGCCATAATGATTATGATAATCCAGGAAGTTAAGTTTGGGTATCCGCGATTATCAAAAGGAATCAAGATCTTAGTGTGTAATGGTGATATATTCACACTTTTTTTTTAATCGGATAAAAATTGTGACCGCTACAGGGACTACAAGCTAAAAACATGATTTTTTTGTTCAATCAAGGGCCATAATTCAGGAAGCTACGATTCGATATGCACGAATATTTTTGGGTTATAAACATGTATTTCAAGTTTCATCGAAATCGGATCAAAATTATGACCTCTACGGCTCTAGAGGGTCTATAAATTCGAACTCAACCATATTTAGGGTGTAACAGTAATATATTTCAACGGTTTTTTAAATCGGAAAAAAATTGTGACCTCTATGGGGTCCACAAGCTAAAAACGTGATTTTTCGTACAATCAGGGGCCATAATTCAGGAAGCTATGGTCCGATATGCGCGAATATCGAAAGGAACCGAGATCTGTGGGTTATAAACATACATTTCAAGTTTTATCAAAATCAGATGAAAACGGTGACCTCCAGAAGGTCCACAACCCTGATACACAATATTTTGACACTATTTGCGAACGAGGGGCGGCCATTTTGTCCGTCAGTTTCGGTCCGATTTTTACGAAATTCGAACTCAACCATCCTTAGGGTGTAACAGTGATATGTTCAAACGTTTTTTTTAAATCGGATAAAAATTGTAACCTCTATGAGGTCCACAAGCTAAAAACTTGATTTTGCGTACAATCAGGGGCCATAATTCAGGAAGTTATGGTCCGATATGCGCGAATATCGAAAAGAACCGAGATCTGTGGGTTATAAACATACATTTCAAGTTTAAACCAAATCTGATAAAAATTGTGACCTCTACAGTATTCACAAGCTAAAAACAAGATTTGTCGTACAATCAGGAGCCATAATCCATGAAGTTACAGTCCGATACATGCCAATATCGAAAGGAACCGAGATCTTAGGGTGATAAACCTATATTTCAAGTTTCATTGAAATCGGATAAAAATTGTGACCTTTAGAGTGTTCACAAACAATTGTGGATGGAAGGGACGGACAGGGTCGACGACAATATACGTCCACATGAAAATTTCTGTCAAATTGCTCCACTCTGAATTGAGATATTAGCAATTGAATTTTAGGCCTAGCCTCGATTATCATTACTAAAGTCAGTACGACAAACCACATAGTCTCAAATATCCATTTTTGGGTTTAATCCTCAATGAGTGTTAAGCAGTAGATCGGATTCAAATCCAGTGAAAATCCAACACATAGGATGGCATCGAGAGTTGATTAAGGTCTTTTCATGTTAATAAATGTCTAATAGTTTATATAACATTTCAGGCCTAAAGAAAGACCTGTAATGGGCAGATTAAGTTCTTGCATAATGTATGTTTAATGAAATGTAAAATAATCATCTGAGTACATTTTAGTGTGGCTTAAGCAGTTCAAAAGTCAATCCAATTAAAATATAGATCTATATTGCGTTTCGTTTTTTTATACTTTCGATGGCCTATACTACATGTAGATCTAACAAGTTATAGTGGGAGTTCACATTCTATGACCTCAGGTACCAAGCAAGCGACATTTGACCCAATTACGTCAGTTCTTTCGATTAACCAATTAGCGACCGCCATGTATTTTTTTATCTACTTAAGTAATTTATACAAAAAATATAATTAATAAACATCACCAATGGTGTTGGGACCTATCTACTTACCAATGGTACATATAATGCCAGACATACGAACCATATGAGGTTCTGAATCTATATTCAGGCAACACATGTGTTCCAAATGAGAGCGTGCATCAGCAGCCTGTAACTGTTGTTCTTGAACAAAATCTCCTTCATGCTCAGCACTCTCCAAATTAAACTAAAACAAACCAAATCAAATAATGAAAATTTCAATCCCACCTACTAGAAATCAGCTACATATCAACATTACAATAAAAGTTAACACATTACATTTATTAGTTCCATGTTGATGGCGTCAATACAAACACAAAGAATGAAAGATTGTTTTTTCATATAGGTACACAAGCTAGAGGGAAAAAAGCAAACCATCATATTTAATGCAAGTTTGTAAGCATACAGTATTTTAGGCAAACTATTACCACCCACAAAATATCAATAATAATTTAACAATTGGTATCAAATGATTAAATTAAGCTATTAGCTGGCATAACACTGGGTTAGACTTTTGAAATGATTAATCATAATGACATACTGGTTCTCTTATGGTCAGTCCAAAAGGTTCTATCTATAAAACAAATCTCGCACTATCGTATTATCTCATATAATCTAAAATATCTCACCCGGATGGGCATTGGGGGAATAATGCATGCCACAAACAGTGGGCAAGTTTTTGCCCATTTTTGGGATGATGAAGACAATACAATAAATTATATTTGAAAAGAATAATCAATTTGCTTTTCAACATCACTCAATTCGGAGAGTCAAAATTTATGTGCTGCAGTACTGAATCCTGTCCGGTTACTCTTCAGTAAATAACCTTAGAATATGTCATTCTAAAGATATCGCAGCCTTCCCCAATAATTTTTTCTGACCATATCAGATCCAGCAGCTGTGATAAAAAAAATTGTCAACAGTACGGTATTCAGAAGCCCGGGACAGATCAGACATTTCTCACTATATATCAACTGACTTGAAAGTAACAAATTTTTAGTTTTGTATTTGGCAAATTTTGAAATTTCAGAAGGCCATATGGCCATGTGAGTGACAAAAAAAACAACTGGTGTGGCCTTATAATTATGTGCACTATAGGAAGTCATAATATAGTAGTTAGCTTATAACACACAGCAATGACAAGTTAACCCCAATGTGGAAATTTTGAAAATTGAGTTATTGTTATTATCACATTCTCTGCCTCAATACCTTCAAAATGATGTATGGTTGGTGTGAATTGGGCAAAAATTGACTGAGCTATATCCGTTTGAAGTTGCCCAAGTTAGAAAAAGGTCGTTTTGAGTTTTGAGAAAAAGCAAGTTAAAGATATTGGTATGTTCTAAAACAAAATCACATAGCAACCACACCATATATTTGTTTTTTAGTCGTTTAATATTTCTTTCAGTGTTATAATTTAGAACAAATGATAATAGTCCATACATTAGTAATCTATGTTTTGTAACTTTTATGGGATTAACTTCTGTTAATCTCACCAATTAATTGGCACCTTAGTGGTCAAGGGATTAAGATTGTTGATTGGGTAATCAAGTTTAGTTTCTTAATCATCAAATCAGCTGCCACAGCCATACGTATGTTCTGTTAACTTTGTCACACATAATACTTTGGCCATATTTATAAACTAGAGATTACCTGCTTCAAAACGATGCCAAGTATTACGTAAAGAGATTCACCCGTCGTCCCACTGCATGCGTCGAAAAATAACCGATTTCACTGAGAATTTTTAGAAAAAAGAAAGATAAAGAATATGATACTCTTACAATGCGTCCAAATAAAGGTGTTTAAAAAAGTTTTATTGCCATTTTGTTCTTTTGGGTAGATAGATAGTATATTATAATCAATAGACTTATTTCTGCGAAAATCAATTTCAATCAAAATCAATATTTTCACTTGTTTTGTCTGCAGCTTATTATTAGATTTTGCACATCCTGACTCATTTTGCCAGCATGGGTCACATATGTATATTATTATTAAGTGGGTGTTTATTATTTACATATGTAAGTAAGATAATGAGTATTTAAACAATAAACACCCACAAGATAAACATTTCAAGTACATTCTATCAATATGGTGTTATCTAATCAGTTACAGATATTACGTGCTCTCTCTATAAGTTCCAATAAAGTTTCAATTATGGTGTAAAATTAATCACTGTAATTTTATTAAAAAATAAAAATTTGTTGAAATTGGAACATCCTCCACATTCATTTCCAACATGAACATAAAATAAAATTTGATATAAAATAAACAAGTTGTATAAAAATGTTGCACATTGTATAACATAGATGTTAGATCATACAGTATAGCCTACAAAATACATTTTCAATAGCTGTCAAGCTAGAAAAGACTACAACCTTTTTGCCCTACTTGCAATGAATATCAACATTACTGTTAACCAGTGACTGCCATGCAGGATACGCCCACATTTTGCAAGAGATGGATAGAGAAATAGCTAAAAAAAAAAAACGATTTTTTCAACAATCAGGGGCCATAATCCAGAAAGTTATGGTCTGAAATACGCAAATATCAAAAGGGACTGAGATTTTTGGGAATATAAAGATGTGTTTTAAGTCTTATCAAAATCGGATAAAAAATGTGACCTCTAGAGGGTCCATAACCTTTGTATTACATACTTATATACACAATTTCCATACAAAGAATGGCCATTTTGTCGGTCAGTTTCATTTCGATTTTCCTGATATATCTATATCATTATGGTGGAATGGAGATATATCTAAACGGTTTTTAAAATCGGAAAAAAAAAATTGTGACCTCTAGAGAATCCACAAGCTAACCAGCGGCTGCCAGGCAGGATACGCCCACATTTTCGAGAGATGGATAGAGAACAAGCTAAAAAGAAAGTGGTTTTTCCTACAATCAAGGGCCATAATTCATGAAAATAACAATTCGATATGCGCAAATATCGAAAGGAACCGAGATCTTGGTGTTATAAACTTACCAAGTTTCAACAAAATCGGATTAAAATGGTGACCTCTATAGGGTCCACAGCCTTGATATACCATATTTTTACGCTATTTGAGAACGAAGGGCGGCCATTTAGTCTGTCAGTCGTCCTTAGGGTGTAACGGTGATATAGGGTCCAAAAGCGAAAAACGCGATTTTTCGTACAATCAGGGGCCATAATTCAGGAAGTTACAGTCCGATATGCGCACATATCGAAAGGAACCGAGATCTTTGGGTTATAAACTTATATTTCAATTTTCAACAAAATCAGATAAAAATTGTGACCTCTATAATGTCCACAACCTTGATATACCATATTTTTACGTTATTTGAGAACGAACGGCGGCCATTTTGTCCGTCAATTTAGAGCCGATTTTCACGAAATTCGAACTCAGCCGTCCTTAGGGTGTAACGGTGATATAATAATACGTTTTTTTAAATCGGATAAAAATTATGACCTCTATAGGGTCCACAAGCTAAAAACGCAATTTTTCGTACAATCAGGGGCCATAATTCAAGAAGTTACGATCTGATATGTGCAAATATCGAAATGAACCGAGATCTTTGGGTTAGAATCTTACATTTCAAGTTTCAATAAAATCAGATAAAAATTGTGACCTCTATAGGGTCCACAACCTTGATATACCATATTTTTACGCTATTTGAGAACGAACGGCGGCCATTTTGTCTGTCAATTTTGGGCCGATTTTCACGAAATTCGAATTCAGTCTTCCTTAGGGTGTAACGGTGATATCGGATAAAAATTGTGACCTCTATTGGGTCCACAAGCAAAAAACGTGATTTTTCGTACAATCAGGGGCCATAATCCATGAAGTTTTGATCCGATACATGCCAATATCGAAAGCAGCCGAGATCTTTTGGGGATAACCCTATACTTCAAGTTTCGTCAAAATCGGATAAGAAGTGTGACCTGTAGAGAGTCAACAAAAAATTGTGACCTCTAGAGGGTCCACAAGCTAAAACGTGATTTTTCGTACAATCACGGGCCATAATCCATGAAGTTATGATCCGATACATGCTAATATCGAAACGAACCGAGATCTTTGGGAGATAGACATCTATTTCAAGTTTCGTCAAAATCGGATAAAAATTGTGACCTGTAGAGTGTCCACAAACAAATTGTGGACGGATAGGGACAACGACAATATATGTCCACATGAAAATGTGGGCGAATAAAAACATCAAAATAGCCAAATCATCCATGAATTAGACAAAAATGATACGTCTTACCACCCTACATTGTGATAACTGTACAATGATTCTGCGCAACAAATGTCTGAAGTTCACTCAGCAACTGTGAATATTGTCAACATACTCAACACTGACAAAATTTTAAAATTCAAGCCATCCGATCATCCAAAGTCTCCATGTTGTATGAGGGCTTTTCTCAGAAAAGACATAGAAATATCAATTTGATGTGGTCACACATCTTTTACACGAAAGTTGACTCATAAAATTCCAATAAATTCAAGTTGTTCATTTGACTGCCATCAATTTTGACATTTTAACGACATCAGTATGGTTTCTGTTCAACTCATTCCTGACATTTACCACAAACCTCATCAATAGCATGTTGTGCATTGTGATTGGAAGAGTTATTACGTATTTAACACGTGTATAAACAACTAAGAATTTAAAAAGACAACATGATTAACATGGATTTGGATTCCTATGAAACCATAATAAGAAGAGAAAACAACACATAATTACACTAAAATAACACATCAATAATGGCCATGAATGATAAACCAAGTTTTGAGCGTTAAGATAATAAGTAAAAGCAATAAATCTTGGGCAATTACAGCATTATAAATGCCCATGGATTAATTTTTAATAACTGCATCTTTTGATGTGTATAGCTTTTCTTAATTTCCGAATTTTCTTGTTGTCTACGTTTGTTGCCAGAATTTTTACCTTGTTCCATTCTATTCCATGTCGTGGGTGGTCCTTCAAGTGTTCTGCTATGGCCGATGTGTTAGTGGAGGCTCCTGACTTTGCCTCGTGTTCCAGGATTCTTTTTTCATCTGGTCTTTTGGTTTTCCCCCGATACAGTTTTTTTTACATGAGCAGTTAGTTTTGTGATGGCTCCTTTGGGTTGTGCGGGAGTGGTTGGTTGCTGTTTTCCATTGGCTTTCAAGACCTGTTTAAGGAATGTGGGGATAGTGAATGAAATGTCAATGTTGT